GAAAGGAAAGGGGGGGGGGGGGGAAAGAAAAAAAGCGATAGAATTGTCAGTTGGCCGCCCATCCTCCAAATATCAGGTATATACCAAAATACCGAACCCAAGCCCGTATCGCCCCAATGCGATCATAGAGAATAAACAACAAAAGTCGGGTGTATATTCAAACAAATATATGTAAATTGAAATGAAGGAATAAAAAGAAAGTCATCAAGGATCCTAAACAAGGGTATGCTCACTGGTACTCTTCTTCGGAGTCGACTCCTGCATAATGCTCATCTCGGTGGTAACCTCGATACCTGCGAGCGAACTGTGGCTGGAGCGGTCACCAGGCTTAACATTGATCGAATACATATCGTAGTCCTTATCATGGTTCTGGCTATGCAGCTGAGTATGACGTGTCAGATTGCGAGTTCCGGTGAGGTTTGTCCCTGTGGCTTTGGTGGCAGCATAGCGATTCGAGCTTCCTGTGGAGAGAAGCCTGGGGAAGATGCGACTGACGATGGGTCGCAGGAATGGGAGACAGGAACACATGATGGCGACGTTGCATTCGGCAGCGGTCCAGTACGCGGCTCCGACATTGCTATCTATTTGGTGGATTAGCCTTTGGACCAGTGGATTGGGTAGGACAAGAACATGACGTACAGGAAGTGTCCGGATTTCTTGCTACTTCTCGTAAACTAGACAGGCGGAGAATGCTGGTGACCACGACTAAGATCCCAATGGCAAAGACCCCCATTAGGGCGATCTTCTGCGTGCGGGGCAGCTGTAGCTTGGAAATTAGTGGCATGGGCAACACCAGCAGCGCTATATCGGTTATAATGTTCATAGAAGCATTGAAGAACCAGACAGTCTCGAAACTGAGACAGTTGCCGGGCAAGTCCTTGTTCCAAAATTTGGCCACAGGGACACAGCCCACGAAGCCGCTCACGAAGGCCCATGACGAGTAGGTAGCCACGATTGCCATCATGACGTAGCAGGAGAGGCGGAAAGGTTTGCCGGGAAAGATGCGCAGATATTGGAAGAGAATGGAGAATTTGGTGCATGCCAAGCTGGCGTTGTACATGGGAATTGCAGCCCACAAACACTAAGAAGTCACGTTAATTTACCAACAAAGGAAACGTATACAGAATAAAGTTACCTTAAGTTGTTGCTGCAAGACATGGCTGGAAAGAAGTGCTGAGTGAACGCCCATCTTATAATGTAGTTCTATCGTCCATATTAGTGGGTGGTTCTTGAGATCACCGCCGATGCACATCGTGAACTTACGGGCAGCGACGAGTGCAAGGTAGACAATGGAAAATGTCTGCACGTGTATTTTGTTAGCGACCTGTTCGTTTGGCTCTACGTGTTGCTCTTCGAGGAACATACCAAAGAAATGAGAATAGCCCAGTCTTCACGACCGGTGATTTTCATCAATCCAAGTCGAGCGTAGAATCGCATTGCGACGATGACAATCGAAAGGGTGGTTAGCACTGCAGTCACCACCAATGCCCGTCGGCCGCGCGAGGCCCCATTATCATCTTCCCGAGGAAGCAATATGTGAATTAAATCATGCATATTGGATATAGAAGTCAGAAATCAAGGGCCAAATGTAGCGAGAGTAGTTATAAACGAGCGTGTGGGCTATATGCAGATGTTCCAATCGCTCATGCCTAGTGTAGCAGTAGCACAATGGACTCGGATCGATGCAGCTCACTGCATTGAATTGGGGTTGAGAGTGTCAGTAAAGTGAGGCTGATAATAGAATAGAAAAATACGTCTTAGAGGCAGGGAGCGGGGACAAACTCATTTGAACACGATCCCAATGTCCACACAAACTGCGGAGAACCACTTCACGCGTTGTAAGACCAAAGCTTGGTAGTATATTGATGTGAAATCCCCGCAAGGTTCGAATAGTCTGCTCAATAGCGCCGCGCCAGCTGGCGATCCCATGTTCCCATCCAGATTACTGGGAAGCCTTGGCTCGGTTAAGCGATGACTCCACTATACGCCATGCGGTTTGGGGGCCACCCTATAGACAAAACTTCCATAGAAGCCTTAGGGCGGGGATCTAGTCACCGATTTTGCGAGGGGCTCACACAACGGGGCAAAGATCGACGTGTGGCTGCCAAGTCGGTGATGGAAAACAGAGGCTATCTTCTCAAGTTTCCTCGTTTGGTATGGAAGTTTAGAACGGGCCTGTTTCTGTTCTTAGGACCCACTTTAGTGGACAGTATGCGGCGGTTTCACTGGAGATGTTGATGAAGAAAATTCATGCAGTGTGGGGAGGCATCCATTAGCCTCGTGCTGTTATTCCAATAATATTTATGTTGCAGGC